GTAATGGTGGAAGGAAAGAGAAGAAGAGGACGACCAGCAGCGAGGTGGATGGACTCAGTTATAGTGGCAATGGGTGCACTGTTGGAAGACCTGAAAGACCGGGTTAGGGACAGATTGTCATGGAGAAAATCTATCTGTGTGGTCACTAAGAGTCAGAACCAACTTGATGGCACATAATCAAAATAGCTGTAACATCATGCTTCAGTAACATTTTTTTTTAATCCACACTCAGTCGTGGCCGATTCTGCGGCATTATCAAATATTATAAGAAAGAGTCAGCCCATTTTTTCTAGATAGTGTTTAAATTATATCATTATCAAAAGATCTACTTTTTATAAAACAAATGTAATAAGAGTTTTAAGAATGTTAAAATAAATTTTAGTGGTTGTTTGCGATGCCTTTAAGGAATATAGACATGGTCCTATTTTTGCTTAGGCTGCATGGAAAATATGGTTAAAAAGTTAATAAAGTTTTGAGCAAGATGACCTACTCCAGACTTACGTAACATTTTAGGAGTTCTAAACAAGGGCTTAATTCCCTTTAGGCACTTGAAACAGAATATTCATTGTATCATGTAAAGCAAGATATTGGGAGTGTGATGAAAGACCTGGTAAATTAACAGCCTCTCACTGAAACAGTTCTAGCAATGTAAAATTAACTCTACTATTCAGAATCCCGAGGGTAAAGTACATATTGATTCTGTCTCTATAAATCAACAATTGTTTTATTTTTACTCTCAAAACTATAAGGTTGTATCAAAGGTAACCTAAGCACAAAAATAATTTTATATAACATAGCTTTTCCTAACACCATGCATAATCAAGCTATCTTTTGAGCAGTCCTTTTATCTCCCCCCACCACAAAATAACAAGAAGAGGAGGAGGAGGAGGAGGAGGAGGAGGAGGAGAAGACAGCTTTACTTGGAACAGCTTATATCCTGCAACAATACCTTTAACACCTTCAAACAACATCTGCCTTTCCCAGGTCCTTGGAAAGGTCTCAATAGGTGGATAAAAATGCCAAATCCAGTCTAAACATCTGGCTGACTGTGCGACTAACAATAATAATAATACAGTGGTACCTCTAGTTACGAACGCCCCTCCTTACGAATTTTGTGGCATTTGGAAGGTTTTTGAGGTTTAAAAATAAAATGCATATGTTTCAGAACTGTTTAGCCGTATTTACATTGAACCTTATGGGGGAAATTTACCTCGGGGTGCGACCAAATTCGGAGGGCGGAACGGATTAACCGTATTTACATTGAACCTTATGGGGGAAATTTACCTCGGGGTGCGACCAAATTCGGAGGGCGGAACGGATTAACCGTATTTACATTGAACCTTATGGGAAACTTTACCTCGACTTGAGACCAACTCGAGTTGCAACCAGAGTCACGGAACGGATTAAGTTCGTAACTAGAGGTACCACTGTACTTAGATATTATTAAATCTATGAAAACCTTCTGGCCTGGATGCTTATCCCATTGAGTAATATAAGACATATACCGAATTTTTTGTCCCAGCCATAATGAATGAGGTGATATGCAATGTAAATTAGGACTACCAGATTTCAGCTACATAAATCTGGACAACCCCAAGATTGCAGTGAAAAGTTAAGGATTTCCACATCTCTTTGCTTCCATTTAGCAGTCATTTAGATTTCTGCAGTCTGATTACCCTAATACAATCTAATTCAGCCAGTTCATATGTGGTACTCACCAGTTCAGTCCTGTTGTTGGATCTCTGTTAAGGCTCCCATTGTTCTCTGAGTCTCTATGGACCTCTGCTTTGGCATGTACATGAGGCTGGATATGTCTTCCTGCCCTGACCAGTGGCACTGAGGCAAGCAAAATTCCCATGCATTCTGCAGAATTGTCCCTCTTTGCCTGGATCTGCTCATAAGATGGCAGGCTTTTCTCATATATGTCAGCTTCTTTCTGGCTTGTATATGGGGTTTCCAAACTGTGAAGAAAGTAAGATAAAATTCATATTATCTATCTATCTATCTATCTATCTATCTATCTATCTATCTATCTATC